ATTTTAATAATTTAAAAGATTTAAACATTCACTATATTTTTGAATCATACCTCATATATCTAAAATTTAAGGCTTACTTTAATTCTTTAATAATAGTTGAAATTAAATGATAGTTAACTACTTCTTAATCCCACAAGCTGTTGAAAAGTGACTAGTGACAAGAGTTAGAGAACAACTGCCGCACCCCTGTCTGTCCAGAGCGGCAGGAAGCTGGAAAGAGCCATGTCATCAATAGACTCTTTAGTCCCTGATCCTCCAACTTCGCAAGGAGGGGCAGGGAGCTGTAATATTATCATCTAGGAAGTCTGCTTTGGCAAAAGAAAACATATATTTCAATTTTACTGAGCTTAAAAGAAGAGATACAATAATATAAATTTACTAATATGGCAAATTTAATAAAATGAATTATTCTTTAGTCCTTTCTAAAATGTTGAACACAGCCTTATATGTATCTTTTAGAAGCAGAGCAAGGAAAAGTCTTGAAATTAAAAGTTGGAGGTTTGTTATGATCGATACATTGTGTCAACTTGAGGAGTCTAGAGGCTTGGCTAAGTGACTCAGCAGCTCTACAGCCTGGGGTGAAAAGGACATGCCCTTCCTGCTCCAGGATGTTTTTTGGTATTCATCCTGAGCCTGGGCAAGAGGAAGGCACTGAGACAGTATGGGCCTGGGCGGATAGCCAGGCATACAATATAGGGAGGGAAAGAGGCTGCTTGCCTCCTCCTCTTTTGCTCTTGTCACTTTTGCTGTCTTCCACTGCCATGAACTGTTGCCCTCTGCCGTGTGCCACTCTGCCTTGAAGCTAGCAAATATGGACTGAAACCTCTACAAAGTGTGAAACCTCCACAAACTGTGAGCTCAATAAACCTTTCCTTCCTTAACTTTGGGTGTCAGGTATTTTGTTTCAGCAATGACAGAAAAGTAACCAAGACAAGGTTTATTTAAAATACTTGGAGATATCCTTGAACATAATCATTGAAAATTTAAATTACATATTTTTACGATGATGATAAATAATGTTCAAACAAATTTCCATTACAACAGAAAATAATACTTCATAACGCAGGTTTATGGTGTGTGACTTTTGGACTTAAAATAGAAAAAAAAACCAATGTAAAATGCAAACATAAATTGTAAAACATGTTTCTCAAACATAACTTAAGACCTCATGATCAAATTGTTTCTTCTTTAGTACTGTGCTTCTGTGTGGGTTCTTGTACTTCAGTACAGTGAGGCTTGGCACACAGCCACACAAACTCCCTGGAGGTTTGCAAATGGCCATGACATAAGTTACCTTAGAGCAATGTTCTGTTTTTCACAATGAATGCAAATTTTAATTATAAAACAAGACTGTGACCAAAACATTTTAAAATTATCTGGCAACCCATCACATCATTGCAACAGACAAATCTGACACTACGTTTAACTTATAAAAAACTTAAATTAGACAGTTTGTTCATATGGGAGTAAAAATATGTTTTAAAAAGAACCCGAAAATAAAAACAACTGCTATCCTGAAATAACTGCATACAAAAACAACACAAAATCCTGAAGCTGAGTGGGAAGAGTGAACTCATCACCAATGCACTTCTCTTCACTGAGAAATATGGGAGGAATCTTGAGAGCTTCAGAGCAGTACAGAGAGCAGGAGCAAATGCCAATAGCGAACTGTTTTTGTAAGACTAGAGGTTACAAAAAGTCTGACATGAAATTACAGCCCTTGATTCACTTGGTTACTACAGGTTATGTAGCATGACTCTTTTTTTTTTTTTTTTGTACTTAGAATCGAACTCAGGACCTTGTGTTTGCCAGATAGGCACTTACACCACTGAGCTAAATCCCTAGGCCTCTGACTATAGGTTATGAAGGACTTAAAGGAATTCTACAAAAACACACTTTGCCTGTTTCTGGCTATTATTGAATATCAGCATAGTGAGAAAACGGCTTTGAAATCAGAGTGTGCTTTTTCATAACCATGTCTGTTGCATACCTTCTGCCATGGATTGTGTTGAATATTAAGAGTGAGAAGGCTTGTGGTGTGCTTGCATAACACATTTATTTCATCCCCAGACTTTTTCAGTTGATTCCAGCTCAAGTCTAAGTGCTTCAGTTTCATCAAACCTCTAAATCCCTCAAGGGTAATCACATGATTATGGCTTGCATCCAAATATTCAAGGTTATACTGAAACACATGAAACAGAAGTGATGCTATATTTACATAATTCTTTTTTTCTGTTTTTTTTTTTTTTTTAATACTTCATATAGCAGAGTGTGGTGGTGCATGCCTGTAATCCCAGCACTTGAGAGGCTGAGGCAGGAGGATCACCGTGAATAAGAGGCTAGCCTGGGCTACATGAGCTCAAGGCCAGCCTGCACTACATAGCAAGATCCTGTCTCAAACCACTCCCCCATAAGACTTCACATGCTTTCTTATAATTCCCATAGAAAACCTTTTCCTATGTAGAATTTTCTATCCATTTAACATTTTAAAAATCATTACATATTCTTCAAAATCGTTTTCGTGATGGATCAGTGGAACAAAATAGAAGATGCAGGTGCATCCCCAAACACACTCAGCCACCTCATCTTTGACAAAGGAGCCAAACATGTTCACTGGCAGAAAGTTAGCCTCTTTAATAAATAGTGCTGGAAACAATGGCTCTCCACATGCTGAAGACTAAAAGTAGACCCATGTCTACCACAATGCACTAAACAAAAGTCAAAATGGATCAAAGATCTAAATATTAAAATAGAAACACTAAATTTACTGGAAGAGAAAATAGGAGGAAATCTCAAAGACATAGGTGTAGGCAGAAACTTCAGGAACAAAACCCAGACTGCAAGGGAAATATTACAATGAATCAACAAATAAGATCTCACCTTATTAAAAAGCTTTTTCACAACAAAAGAAATCTCCAACAGAGTGAAAAGGCAACCCACAGAATGGGAAAATTAATAGCTAGTTATCCCACAGACAAAGAACTTATATCTAGATCATATAAAGAATTGAAAAAATCAGACCCCCAAATTCAAAGACCCAATCCAAAAATGGGCATCAAAGATGAACACACACTTCTCAGATGAAGAAATACTAATGGCAAATAAATACATGAAAAAATGTTTAACATCACTGGTCATTCAAGAGATGTAAATTAAAACAACACTAAGATTTCATCTCACTCCAGATAAAATAGCTATCATCAAGAAATCAACCAATAACAAACGCTGGAGGGATTGTGGGGAAAAAGGTACCCTTCTCCACTGTTGGTGGGACTGTAGATGGTGCAACCACTGTGGAAATCAGTGTAGAGATTCCTTAAAAAACTGGGATTAAAGATCCCATTTGAACAAGCTGTTCCCCTTCTGGGTATATTCCCAGAATAATGAAAAACATCATACCACAGCAGTATATGTACACCCATGTTTATAACAGCACAATTTGTAATAGCTAAATCTTGGAAACAACCCAAATGCCCATCAACCAAGGAATGGATAAAAAAGATGTGCTTTTTTTATATAATGGAGTACTACTGAGCCATAAAGAAGGGTGAACTGGAGACTTTTATAGGTAAATGGATGCAACTCAAGTCTATACTCATAAGAGAAATAAATCAGACCCATATGTGTAAACATCATATTGTCTTATTGAACTGAACAAGAAAATAGGACCCAAAACATAAAATAGACATTGTGAACTGGGAAAAAACTGTTCAAAAGAAAAGACGTTCTATACTGGGATAAAGGGGGAAGGAAGAAAGGAAAAAAGAAAAAAAACCACGCATACACAGGTAGTTAAGACAGTTATACAAGGGGTTGGGGATTTAGCTCAGTGGCAAAGCGCCTGCCTGGCAAGTGCAAGGTCGTGAGTTCGGTTCCCAGTACCGGAGAAAAAC